GTCAGCAGCAGCCAGAGGGAAGTAGATGCTTAGGAGGTGGGGTGTTGCTGGGGATTTCCTGAGCTGTATTACAGGTCTCAGCTGGTCAGGCTTCTGTGGAAGGTTCCGTAAGCAAGCCCCTCCCTGACAGCCAAGAGCCTTCTCCCAGGGCAGGCTGATGCTTGGGACAAAACTAAGGCCCATAGGCATGGCCCTATTGGTGGAAGTGCCAGAGGTTTGCCTACCCTTAGTTCCATCTGTGACTCAGAGGTCATGGTTGGGATCAAGTTAGAACTCAGTGGCGGGAGGGAGCGGGGCCCAGGTAGGGCAGATGAGAAAGGCTCAGAAAACACAGGGTCGCTACTGGAGATGTTATTGGGCGTTTGGCACAGTCAGACTGGAGGACAAAAGGGGTGTCACTGCCTAAAGACATCAGAGGCATTCACGAGCCAGAAAACCGAGGAGATGCCTTTCTAGCTGGGTGACCTTGAACTCACGTCACCTCTCTGGGCCTCAGCTTCCAGACGCAAAAATGAGGGAATTAAACTTGAATAGCAGCCAGCAGCTTGGCTCCAATAAGAGGGAACCTCTGAACGTACACAGAGACTCCTGGGAAAGGACTGAGGTACATGAGGAGATCTGAAGCTCTACTCAGGGGAGCAAAGACATAAAGGACACCAGCTGCCCAGGCCCCAGAGAGTCCCAGTGTCCTGAAGCGTACTGGTGCCAGCTTGCTTTGATGAAAGTGAGGCCCCATCAGAGTCCTGGAACCGTGGAGCTCATTTCAAAGTCAAGAACCTTGGGGTCTTGATGGTCACAATGTCTTTGCAATCACTTCATCACAAGCCCAGCATGAGGCACGATGGGCAAACCGAAAGCCTCAGACAGACTTTGAGCCATTCTGCCTGCACAAGTCCCGCACAGTGACTGGGCAACGTTCAGCAGGGATCTTGGCCTGGGCTTGGGTTCCCATGACAGCTTGGTGATTATCTCACTGCCCCCAAAGTCCCTTCCCTCCCTGGGCCTTTGTTTCCCCCACTGCAAGAGAAGACTAGACTGCCCCCAGCTCTAGCTCTCCTGTTCTGTTTTGGTGCAGGTAGTCTACGCCTGATGAGAAGCGGGGCCAAGTCACAGCAGCCCTTGTGTGACCACTGACCACTGAGTGCTCTTCCCCACCTCTAGCCAGCTGGTGGCCTGGCAAGCCTGGCCTCAGTGCCCCTCAGCTCTGAGAGCTCTGGCTCTCCTTTAAAATTCAACATCCTACCAGGCATTGATGTCCTTGACCACACTAGTTCCCAGGCCTGCTGCAGTGGGCTATTCAAGCCAACTGTCTGAGCAGTGGTGCTTACTTTGGCATGAAGGGTGACTCTAATGGGTAACTCAGGTCTGCGAGACAGCTCCAGCCTGCCATCCTTTGCTTAGGCCAGGCCAACGTGATCTGTATGGTAAAATTCCTGGCCCCTGCCACTGATCTTTACTACCTACCCATGGGTGAAAGTTGTGTGGCAAGGATGCTGGACTTGAGCCAAGCTGGGCCCAGATACAAGGCCAAGAATAAAGAGTGATTACCACAGGAAATCAGGAGCTCAGATCTTCATGACTAGCAAAAGCCGCTTTTGCCTCTTGGTAGCAGAGTTTCCCTTAAGTGGTATGAGAACTAATTGTATGTCCCCTCCCCAGAGGTGATGAGACACTGATGATATAGTCAGAGAGCCCTGGTTGGGCCAAAGGGCTATCAGTGGATTGTGTCCTTCAAGGAAACCTCAGCCAGTCTGTCCCGCAAGGTCTGCAGAGGGAAGAAACCAAAATACCCTAAGCCTCATCCCTCTCCCTGCTGTTCCTCAGAGTCCCATGATCCTGAGGCAGGCTGAGATATGGGTGGTAAGGCTAGGGAGCACTCCGTTTCCTGGCATCTGCAGAATAGCTGCAGTGAGGTGCAGTTCTAGAGCTGGCAGGGTGCTAGAAGCCAGCCAGAGGGCGCTTGCAGCACCATCTCCGCAGCAGGGCAGGGCACAGGAGCTCAAGGACGGAAGGGACTTATATTCGTCCTAATGCCACTACCCACTGGAGTATGCCTGCCTTTAAGTGCACCCCTACCCCCACCTCTTCAGCCTCTGCTTGAACACCTCCTGTAGCCAAAATCTCACTGACTCTAACAACTGCCCTTCAGTCTTTGGGCAGTGAGTTACCAAGGTCTTCATTATACCAGGCCGAAATTTGTGTCCCCGGGGCCTTTATCTTCCATGTGCCTCCATGCTAAAAGCTTTGCTGACTCATTTCACTGGACTTTGTCCTTTGATGGCCACACTCCTACAAGTGACCCATCTGTATACTTTTCCCCTCCAAATTTACCACAAGCCCCTCAAGGACAGGGAGTGTGTCTTCTATTTTAACCTCTATTCACTTCCAGTTCAACAAACATGTAAATATGATGTGTGGATGGGTGACCAGGCTTCTGCCCCCAGGAGATGTCTGATCAATACGGACCGACTGAAAGGATTCACTGATTCGTTTCCCACTGATTCTGGAGCGCAGCAGGCCTCAAGGCTCTGGGCTTTGTTCACCCATAACATGCCCTTCATTCTCGCTGTTTACAAGCTCATTACCCACCTCCCAGCCTCAGAGTTCACATGCAAAGATACAAACTTCACCCGCACTAAATCCTTCCCCTGCATAATTCTTGATATCTAAAGGTGCTGCTGAGATATTGAGAAGTTATGTTCCAGGAATATGTGGCTATAGGTACAACCATTTCTTCACTGCATATCAACTCCTAGGGAAGGTTGGCCCCTAAAGAGCTCCCAGTTTTGAGGAGCCAGCTCTGGAGCCTCAGTTTCTTCATTTGTGAAAGAGGGAGAAAAATGTTTACCTCATAGGGTTGTGATGAAGATTCACTAAAGTCTGAATGGGTGGTAATGTGAGTGGTAACTATTATCTCAGCTAAACAAGAAAATTATCAACACGAAATCACAGCTGTCAGCTGTGACTATTTCAAATGCCTCCCCTCCAAAGGATTAGGCATGTTATGTGTGATGGGTGTAGAGGGATGGGCGAAGAGCCTTAAAGTGGTAAGTGACATTCGAGTGCCCGTGCTGGGACCATGTTTCTGCAGCTGGAAGCCATTTCATCTCTAGAAAACAGGTCTTGGCTTAATTCCCAAGAACAGCCACTGTGGAGACTCCTGGAGCTAAATGACTTGGCACACCAAGGAAGGGACTGTGGCTGGCTCAGCCCCCCTCCTGCAGTTCAGAGTCTGAGCTTCTCTCAGGAATGCCTCACATTCTGTCCCCTCCTCCAGGCCCTCGTTCAGCCCCCAAGGCACAGCTGTGTCTTACCTCTCCCCTTGTGACAGCTGGGCCAAAGGCAGCTGAGCAGAAGAGGGTGAAGGGACATGGTCATTTCTGTCACTCGGGACAGCCTGCCTCTGGCTACGCAGTCAGGGTGGCCTCTGTGTCACACACTTTTCTTTCTCATCCAAGTGTGCCCCCTGCCCCCTGAATCCAAGCTCCCTAGTCGACCCAAGCTGACTGTTCCTCTTCTCCACTGAAAAACCCATTTCAAACACTGCCAAATCTCTCTGACAGTCAGATGTAATGTTGGAGGTGGGTTCCAGGCAGGGAACCAAGTAGTTTCTGGAAATACATCCGACAGTCCAAAATGGATGTGGTAGATTCTTCCCATGTGGGATCACTGTGGGCAGAACAAAAAACTAAGGGATTCTGGCCTCATTTGTGCCGTCATGCCTTAGAGGGAGGCACAGCGCTGCCTGCTGTAGGCAGAGAGAGAGAGAAACCCCCCAGGCCTCAACACGAAGGCGGGACATCATCCCTGCCCTGTGCTTCCAGTGGCTCTTGCTGAGCAGTAGCTCCACAGCCTGTCCTGTGGTGCCCAATTGTCCTAGTTTGCCCACGACTGGGGGGTTTCCCAGGACGCAGGACTTCCAATACTAAAACTGGGAACATTCAGGACAAACCCCACTGAGTCAGTCAACCGAGCTGGTCCCCAAAATAGCAAGTCTGGGCCAGAGGCCATCAGCCTCCCATCCTGATCTGGAAATGCACAAGGCACCATCTGACAGGAAAAGACCCTCGGTGGCGAGGGTCAGGCTGCTGTGAGAAGCCTCCCGAGGTGCCCTGCCCCACTTTCAGCAGCTCTGCTCCATTCCTGCAGCAATTCCCTTCCTCTCAACAAGCCTCCACGCCAAGTAGAAGAAAATGAGGGAGTGGAAAGATGGTTCTAGGGTTCCTTTCCAACAGCCCATATCCCGGGATTCTCTTCACATCCCCGTGAGCGCAGAGCCTCCCCGTGTTTCTCCTCGGCTCTGGGTTTCTGCCAAACAAGTCTACCTGAGGAAAACATCCCAGTGGCTCAGGAGCCAACACAAGGCTAGGCATACCAACCCCCAGGGGCCAATGACACATCACACTAAGGACGCTCAAGTCTCCCTTAGGCATGACTGAGAGGGCCTCTCTGCTTCCTGGCCTGTTTTCCAGAGTTGGCTTCTTGAATAATTGATAGAGATCCCAGGGAGTAAACCACCTTGTCTGCTGATAGCCTGAGAAGTCACGACCAAGGGTGAGTAGGTTAGGGCTCTTAAGGACATAGGATCTTAGGGCCAGGACAGCCCCATCCATCAGCAGCATGGCAGCCCCTCCCATCAAGAGCTGCTTCATTCCAGGGAATTCCCCAGGATGTGTGAGAAGGCAGACCCTGCTGACCGCACAGGGAACCCTCAGGACCTGCCTGTTGACCTGCTAGCTTTGATACAAAAAAAAAATAAGCCTATCAAGAATGCTTCCATCAGTCCAGCATAATCCCCTCTGGGAAGGATCCAGCCCCTAATGTCCCAATCCAGGGATGAGAGGCATCTGTCCACCCTGCTCCTTAGACAAAGAAGCCTTAAGGAGCTCTTGGCAGGACCCTGACACTCGTGAAGCTCAACAACAAACATAAGCCAGGCACTGCGCGGCTGGAACACCAGAGAATTCCTGCCAGGAATGGACTCTGGACCGACTCTACACTCATCCATTCCCAGAGCAGAGGAACCAAAGGCCTTGGACACCAGCACCACGGTCTCCATTCTGCAACCACCTGTGGGCCATGCAGCCTGGGGGACAGGCTGAGGAGGGCCTAGTGCTCTCATGCTTGGCCAGGACTACCCGGCCCACCTCCATGCCATCCCACTTCCACAGAGCCAGAGAAAACCAGCAGGCCCAGATGCCTGTCTTCTCTTCCCGGCTTCTGTGGAGCAGCTCTGCTGCTGAACAGGGCTGGAGTGCTGCAATTACAGAGACAGCATAAGAGCTACTTTGGGAAGGAGCCACCCTGCTGCCAAGGCTTTAGACGTCCTAAACTCAAAGAAGATGCACTAAGAAAGGGGGTGAGGGTGGGAGAGAACAGGGAGGAACTTGCTCAATCAAAAACATCACATCCTGAAGGAGGGGAAATACTAACCCCTTCTCAAAGGTACAGATTTGCAGCAAGGGGTGAGCAAAGGCTAGCTGTTAAGATGCTCCCCTGGCTTTGGGAGGGAGGGTGTAACTGAATACCCCTCCCCAACCCTCCGCTGACTCCCTCTCTCCTAAGACCGCCAAGAGCACTCACTCAACCTGTCCCAATCATTTGGACATTTGAGGGGAGAGTGTTTCATATTGTTTAGTATTTCCCGTCCATGTGTTATCTTCCCTTCCACATGGTAAGTTTCTCAAGGCCAAAGAATTTGTGTGTTGTGAGGCTTCAATGCTTTCCCCAACAGGGCCTAGCAGAGTGCTAATGAAAATTGCTTATGGGAGGAAGGGAGAGAGGGAGGAAGGAAGGAGAGAAGGACTTACTGTTTTGCATGGAGATAATCCCTAACAGTGCTGCTCCCACCCAAGCTGAGCTCAGAGCACAAGGCGGGATAAGAAGCCATGGCAGAGTGGGTGGCAGCTGCTCTGGCCCCTCCCCTTCAGCTGTTTTGGTATCTGAACTCAGGCTGTCCTGCCATCCACCCCTCTTGTTTTCCATTTGTACTCAACTGTCCATGCTAGACTAGCCCAGGAAGGAGACCCATTGGAGGACATACTAGGCTTTGGGTAAGAAAAGAGACATGGCAAGAAACAAATGAAGGCAGGAAGAACACAGACTATCTTATCAAACGTGAGCCAAGAAGAACTCAAGTACTTATGGGAACAATGCACTGTGAAACCAGGACACTCTTTGCCAAATTGAGGACATAGGGCTGCCAAGTTCACAATGTACCTTTCCAAGTTGAGGACTCAAATAATGTGTAACCCAGAAAAGTATACCCTTTCTGGAGTCCCCTAGGCTGGAGACACGGGAGCCAAATAGGGACTGTTCAATCCTGTGGCTTCCCAGACAACCTTCCCACAGAGCACTTGGCAAGATTCATCATCTGCCAAAAGTTCTCTACACTTTCTCTCCAGGGCTGCAGCTGGCTTATATAGTGCCTTGGTGCAGATCCCCTGTGGGCAGACACAGCCCTACAGATGTATAGCTTGGCAAGTGGAACACAGGCTAGCTTTGAGCCCCCGCTTGCCCTCTGCCAGGTGCTCTTGTGCAGTGAACAACCTGCCCAACCATAGGGAGTAGTTCTGTCTCTCTCCACACCTGCTTCCAACAGAGTAACAGAGGGACTGGGGTAAAGGGAGCACAGGAACACGGGCAGTACCTTCGCAGGGGCGTTCTTACCTCCTCATCTGTCATAATGGAGAAGTAGAAGCCAGGCATTCCCAGGGGACAGCGAATGGAATTCACAGGGTGCCAAGAGAGGGGGAAAAAGAGAATTTTACTAAAGATGTCCAGTGGACCTGGCCCAAATTCCTTCCTAGGGCAAGTGGCCCAAGTAACGACAGCCAGCATTTGCTGAGTGCTCGCTGTCACTAGGCACCAGGCTAAGAGCTCTACATCCAGCAGATTGATTAGTCCTCACAAGAACCCTAAGAGGAAGCCATTGTGGCATTAACAGATGAGAAAACTAATGACTGGAGAGGTAAACTCATTTGCCCAAGGTCACAGTCAGAAAATAGTGGGCACAGAGCCCAAACCCAACAGTATAACCCCAGAGTCTGTATCTACTGAACCTCCACTTCTTGGAGCTTTGCTCCTTCTGAGGGGCAGTGCTGCCCTTCTCTGCATTTGCTGCCCATCACTCAGAGGGCTTACACTGGCTGAGACTGGATTGCGTTCCCAGGGCTCTCTCCCCTCCAGGAACTTTCTCACCGCAGTATATGTGGGGCCATGGTGCTTAAGGCAGGAACTCCTTGCCAGTAAGATTCACTACATGAGGAATGGTCCCCACCTCCCCTGCCACCAGAAGGGTCACGAGCACAATGGGTCAGGGAGGGTGTCACCGGGCCCTGGGGACACTTCTCTTAAGCACTCTAGCGTTGGCAGCCTGACCCACTGATGGCTTCAGGGCAGAGACCCAGACATCCCTGGATCCTGCCTGGGCAGCAGGTCCTGGGATAGGGCTTGAGGGGGGCTCTGAGGAACCAGGGAGACACATGAAGAGATGCCTCAACCTGCATTAGTGTGGGGTTAGCCCTGAGGAAGACTGTGAAGCAGGTAGTTTGTTTTGGTGGCTTTTCTTTGTTTTTTAAATCACATGATAGGTAAAGACCAGCTAAGCTGGAAGGCCACGGGCTTAAATTGTTCTCTATTCCCACTGAAAAGAGGCTCTTCAAAATGAAACCGATTCCAAGTCCTAAGCAAATGACTAATGGTGAAATTATAGGCAAGATGAGGAGTTCCTCTGCTTCAAGTCAAAACCTAGCAAGTACTGTCATAATAGACCCAGCTCTGCACATACACAGAAACCACCCGCCCACTTGTCCTCCTGCCTCCCAGACCTCCCAGGTGGACCCCCAGGAGGGAAAAGCACAGACCATTTAGCCACCAGATGACATGATTGTGCATTTCCTCAGAGACATCTGAAAGTAAGAGAGTTGCTTTTGACTCTTCTGTGTGGGATGCACATCCCCTCCCCCCACTACTCAACATGTCCCTTTCTAGCTCTACATTTCTCCACCCAAAGGTGCCCTCCACCCTGGATCCTCTCTAAGAAGCTCCTCCCTCCCTTTAGCCCACCTCTCTTTGTGCCACTGTCAATGCCTTTCCCCTCTTGGAAGTCTAAGTCCCAGTGCATCTATGTCCATCTTCCACTCTGTGGCCAGAATATTTCCCGAGGACCTTATTCCCTTTACTAGCCCTTCGCAGCCCCCGCCCCAGCTCAGATCTTCATCTCCACTCTCAGGAAGCAGCTTCCCATCCTGCACACCACTCTCTGCTACCTTCCATTGAAAGGCTAAGCAGCATTGCCTGAAGAGTTAATGCCTGATGCCGGCCCGAGCATCATCAGCAGTGTCATTAGCGTGGAGCTCAGGGAAGCTGGCAAGGAAGAATGGAGCAATGAGCTCAAGTATGGGACTACCTTTGGCACTGGCAGGAGGGCAGCTCTAAGGCCCAAAACAGAAAGGAGGCCTTTCCTGCCCACCCCAATGTCCCATCTCACTAAATCGGGGCTGCACCTGGGCAGTCCGCTTCTTCACATACCCAGGATGAAAGCACTGAACCATTGAATGGGTTTTTTGGAGGCGTGCTTGGGGGCCTGCGGCACTTCCCTCAATGGTGCCCGGTTTGGAGACTCCTTTGGTGCTGGTGCTGGTGGCAGTGACGGACTTGCCTTCTCTCTCTGGAACATCTGATCCTTACAGAAAGGGCCTGAGTCCGTTTCAAAGAAGGGCGATAAAAGGTCTCGGGCAGGAGGACACTTAGGCTTGAAATCAGGTGCTGTTGGCCGGCTTTGGCACGTTTCAGCGTCAAGACTGAGTAGAGCCCACCACGAGGAGTCAGGCCCATACTTCGGTAAGGACCGAGGGGGTAAGGGCCGAGGGGTCAGTTCCAGTTCTGCATGGAGAGAGGGCTTTTGGGAGGGTTCTGGATACCTAAGTGTAGGTCCTGGGGACACACAGGCACTTTCTGAGGCTCTTTGGGCGGGCTGTTTATAGATGGGCTCTGGCATGACAAACGCAGATCTGTGGGGCCTCTCAGGCACTGCTCGAAATGTCACACGGTGAACTGACTGTCCCCTTGGGGAGATGGTGACCCTGCGGCCCACCTCGCTGTCTCCTCGGATTGAGGACTTCATGCTGGACTCCACTTCTGATGACACTAAGACCTCTGAGGAGGGCCTGGTTTCAGTGTAGGCAGACGGCTTGCGGATACACTCTGGCCCTGGACGAACACAAACTTGGTGTTCACCATCCAAATCTTTAAGGACAGAGAGTCTGAGGGATTCCAAGTTCATTTTCCTACGCAGTGCCTTGGGTTCAGTGTACACTGAGCTGTGATGACCCATTTCAGACTCTTGACCGGGGATCCTTCTCCGGGCTCTCTGACAGTTGGCAGAGATGTGGCTGCTGGCATGTTTTGGGCTAGAGGGTCTCATTGGAGATCTCATCTGAGCAGCAGATTTCATTTCAACACCTAGACTTGCTCTTGAACTCTTTCGGATGGGCTCAGTTTGAACTGCTTTATCCTTTGGGCAAACCATAGGCCTGTAGGGAACTCTGACCCCTTGTGGATACTGGACTTTGGAGGGTGGATCTTCTTGTAAGATCTGTAAATTATCCTTCTGGTCTATAAAACTCAACCGGTGAGATTTCCTATCCGCGGTTAATGAGTGGCGATTACTGCTATCACACCCTGACTTGCTCTCAGCCCCTCTTTGTGTTGATTCGTGTCTGGATGGACTGACATTCCCCGGCATCTGGGTAGCGTGAGAAGCTGACGTCTGAGTTTGCTGGACCTTCCTTGCAAGAGAAGGATGGTGGTATACTTTTGATTTTGATCGGGCTTCAGTTCCCTTAGGGATGGATGCTCCACAGAAGCTGGGCCCTGACTCGGGGGAGACAGGTCGAGAATACTCTGACACCAAACTGGGAGTGATAGGATGCCCAGGGTCAGCTCTTCGATGGGATGATGGGCTCAGGGAGACTGTAGCGCTTGGCTGGCTTGAGGCAAGAAAGTACCAATGTCCCTGCTGAGGGGTTGTCTTAGTAACCTGAGACCCTTTCTGTGCTGAAAGCACTACCTTGGATCCAGTCTTGTTCATCTTGACCATCTGATAGGCTGTGCTACTCTGTGTAGATCCCATATTTTCACGGCTGGCTTGTATCGAGGATCCTAATGAAACCTATTTACCCTCCACTTTAAAAGCTGCTGTCCTTGCACTCACACAGAAGTGGATGTTGTTCTAAGAGTGTCTCAAGTAGCCCCCTTAGCTACCTGCCTGGTGATGTCACAAAGGAGGCAGCTTCCTATTAAATATCCTGGCACACTGCCAGAATCCTTCAGAGACTCTCAAGCCGTAACTGCAAGGAAACCCAATTTGTCTTTGTGGAGTTGACGCCACCCAAGCTTTGGCCACATTTTTAGCAAAAAATGAGGATTTCCTCATGTTTAGGGAAGGCTCCAGACCCTTCCTCACTCTCCCCAGATTCTAAGAATTTTCAGAAACTCATCCAAAGAAGGAAATTTGCCCAAATATCCTACTAAGCAAAGCTACTCAAATTAATCATGCTGTGTTAGTCGCAGTTTTAATAAGTTACAAGGTACAAAGTTGTCCCAATTTGGTTTGGAACCACACTGTATACAAGTAAAAAAATAGAGCTCCAGCCTTTTCCAGGTTTCATTGGTGGTTTGGTTGACCCTGGGGTAAAAATCAGCTTGCTCAAACCAGAAATTCTCACATTCATGGCCCAGGAGTGAGTGTAGAATTGTAGAAGGATGTGGAGTAAGTCATTGGTTTTAACCACAAATGACTGGTTGAGCATCTTGGACAAGTTACATGACTTGCCTGAGCCTTGGTTTCTTCATTTGGATACCACTGCCCGGTAGGTGGGTGTTACACAATGTATGTTATTCTCACAATCCTCTCCTCTCAGCTATCCTCATCATCTGGGCTCCGGTTCTTTCTTGATTTGAAGTGACTTTCCAATTTGGATGAGCATTTTGGACAAGAAAGAAACAGTCATCTTACTTTCCCTTTCACATACTGCCAGGCACAGACCCTTACCCTATCCAACATTCCACTACTGACTCTGAGAGGGTCATTGTGGTTAAAGCACGGTCAGATTGTTTCAGGATCTTTAAATTCAGCCTTGATTAGAGACAAAGTTGAAACCAAAATCCACATTTTTAAGTAGCAGGAATCCCTAAAGATTGAGGAACTTTGTGCCACAGGCCTAAGTCATTAAAATATAAAACACTCAGCTTGCCATTTTATCTGGTTTTATAGAAAAAGATAAAAGTGGGAGAATATTTACAAGTCATGCATCTTGAAGATGTTGGGGATAAGCCAGGCTGAAGTGAAGATTGTTCTTATTGGTTTATACTTTGACATCTTATCATCATAAAATTGACACAAGCTCACTTCAACAAAGCTTCTCTATGAGATTCTACTGTAAATATGATGATTTATTGATATATAACCTATAACCATGAGACTATAATGCTTATTTGGCTTCTAAGTTGGTTAACAGAAAATTTGAATTTCCCCATCAATGTCTGCTTTCATTTTTCTGGTCTTACTAAAATCAGCTCATGTTGAATAATTTTTTATATTCTCTTAATATTGAGGAAAATATATTCTTTCTTTTCAGCATTCAGTTTCAGTTAAAAAAAAAGGTGATTTTAGCACAAATCTCACAAAGCACAGCACAGGATCTTGACATGTTCCTCATCATGAATAGTCTAATTCCAATCAATCCTTGTCTGAGAAACAAATGTGTCCTGAGGGTGATCCCCATTTCTCTTTGCTCTCCTTACTGGCAGGGCTGTGATGAAGATAAAATGTGATGACAGATGTAAAAGCTACAGTATACTGTTTTAGTTTGAGTGAAAGGCACTCAGTGAGGTACAGGTGTGCGAGGGATGGCCACTTGATATGGTAGCCAGTCTCCAACATGGCCCCCAGTGAGCCTCACCTCCTGGTATTCATGCTTTTGTGTAGTCCCATCTTATTCTGAATCAGGACTTGCCCTGTGTGACCAACAGAATATAGCAAAAATGACAGTTTGTGACTTCTGGAGCTACATCATAACAGCACTGCAACTTTTGCTTTGGTCCCTTGGATTGCTCACTCTCGGGGAGCCAACTGCCATGTGCTGAGGACACTCAATGGGAGACCTCTGTGGAAAGGAACTGAGGTCCCTAGACAGAGGCCAAGACCAATTTTCTAGTTATGTGAGTGAGCCAATTTGGAAATGCATCAAAATGCAGCCTCACGAGAGACCCTTAGCCTCAACTACTTGGCTGAGCCACTTCCAAATTCCTGACACACACAAACTGTTAAAGATAATAAATCATTATTGTTTTTGTTTAAGTAACAAAGTTCTTTTTTAAATTTTTTCCACAGCATTAGACTATGCAGGACCCACTTCTCTCATGTAGACTCTCATTAACCAAGCACAGAGCCCAACATATAAACCAGAACAGCAACTTACTAATATACTTTGAGACACACAACTGTTAAGATGATTGGAAATCCAGGTCATTCTCACCCTATAGACACATTTAAGAGGCACAAAAGTTGGTGAACATGGAATTGGATCAAGAGGTTAGCTTGATGAGCCACAAGAGGGCAACACCTGCCAGAGAGCTCTAGGCATACCTAGTGCCCCCCAAACACCTACCCACAATGCATGAGTTGGACAGCCCCAGCGTCTGGCTCCTAAAGCTTCATTTTCCTACACTTTACACTAACCATGCCTTTCTGTTAAACAGCTTTTCTTCAAATGAGTTCTAATTTTGATTAAGCTTATGGTTATTTCATTATAATGACATTCCAGTCCTGTGTCCCAGTGATTTGACTTTTAAGTATTCCTAAACTCTTTCTACTCCACAAAATGAAAACTGCTCAACAGAGAATTATAAAAAGTTGACATCACCTCAGATGACCACTTCACTATTTTAATAAGCATCTTTCCAAATCTCTCTCTCTGCATATACCACATACAGACATCTATTCATAAATTTTCATAAATGGGATCCTATTATATGTACTAGCATACTACTACTAACATTATTCCATAATATGTTATGGATACCATTATGTGTCAATAAAACTATGTCTATGACATAATTTCTATATCTTGTGGGTGTTCCATAATTTTTAGTAAGTATTGTGGTAAAATACACATGCGTTAACATTTGCCATCTTAACCATTTTAAGTGTACAGTTCAGTGGTATTAAATACACTCACGTTATTGTAAAACTATCACCATAACTCTTCTCAACTTGTAAACTTACTTTTTTAACCATTTTTAAATGTACAATGCATTGGTCTTAAGTATATTAACAATGTTGTGCAACCATCGCCACTAACCATTTCCAGAACTTTTTCATCATCGGAACAAAAACTCCACGCGCTTCAAACAATAACTGCCTTCTCCCATCCCCTCAGCCAGACAACTGCCATTATACTTTCCATTATTTTGACTACTCTAACCTCATATAAGTGGAATCATTCGGTGTTTTCTTCTTATGATTGGCTTATTTCACTCAGCATAATGTACTCAAGGTTCATCCATGTTGTAACATATTGCAGAGTCTTTCCTTTATAAGACTAAACAAGATTCCATTTTATTTAGCACATTTTGCTTATCCCTTCATCCACTTGATGGACACTTTTGAGTTGCTTCTGCTTTTCATCTATGATGCTGCTATGAACAAATAATCTGGTTAAGTCCCTGTTTTCCATTGTCTGGCTGTTCTATTCTCCAATTATTATTATAGAACTGTCTGTTTCTTCTTCCAGTTCTGTCACTGTTCACTTCATATTTTTGATGGTCTTCACTAGATGCCTAAGTATGTCTTCTTTCTGTATTGAACATTTTATTAATATTGTCCTTCTTTGTCTCTTGTGACCTTTTAATTTAAAGTCTACTTTGTCTGGTACTAACACAGGCACCTGTGTTCTTCTTTGGTTACTCTTCACATGGATTATTTTTTTCCATCTTTTCACTTTCAACCTGTTGGTGTTGTTGGATCTGAAGTGCACCTCTAGACAGTGTATATTTGAATCACGTGCTTTTATCCATTCTGCCAGTTTCTGTGTTTGTTTTGGAGTTTGATTCATTTACATTTAAACTAATTACTGATACTGAGTTCTTACTTCTGTCATGCTATTTGCTTTCTGTATGCCTTATAGCTTTTCTACACTTCCAGCATACTGTCTTGTGATTAGTTGATTTTCTGTTTCTGTAGTGAAATGTTTAAATTCCTTTCTCATTTCCTTAGGAGTATATTCTATAGCTATTTTCTTTGTGGTAACCATGGGAATTACGTTTAGCATTGCTAAACTTGTAACATTTTCATTTGAATTTATACCAGCTTAACTTCAGTAGCATTAAAAAACTGCTCCTTTACAGTTCGTCCTCACCTCTTTCAGCTGTTGTCACAAAATTACATGTTTATACATAGAGTCCCCCAAAACATAATTCTTTTAAATGTATTCATCTCTTAAACTATGTTAAAAAAATCTGGAGTTACATACCATTACAGTGATACTAGCTTTTATACTAGCAACTGCTATTTTCTTTCTTTAAATGTACTTACCTCTGAAATAGTGTGGGAAGTAAAAAGTACAGTTACAAATCATTGTTATAATAATACTAGTTTTTAAATTGCCCATGTACTTACCTTTAGTGAGAGCACTATTTCTCCATATGGCTTTGAACTACTGTCTAGTGTCCTTGCATTGCACCTTCTAGGACTCCCTCAAGCATTTCCTGCAGGGCGATTCCAGTCGTCACAAACTCCTTCAGCTTTTATCTAGTTTTCTCTTCATTTCTTCCTCATTTTGAAGGGCAACTTTTGCTGATACAGGATTTTTGATTGACCAGTTTTTTCTTTCAGCACTTTGAATATATTGGCTCAGTGTTTTCTGGCCCTTTAACTTTCTGATGAGAAATCTGCTCATTTCTTATTGAGGATCCCTTGTATGTAAAAATTCACTGTTCTCTTTCAAGATTGTCTTTTGGAAGTTCAATTATAATGTGTCTCAGGGAACAGACTGGTGGTTGCCATAGGGGAAAAGGGTGGGGAGAGTGGGTGAAATAAGTGGGAAAAATTAGGTAGAATGTTCAATATCT